TCTAATCTCTTTGACAGCACACTCTTGTAAGCTTTAATACAAATAACCACATTAAATCAATCTCATAGTCTTAACACAGAATTAAAAAAAAAAAATTATAAAATGTTATTTAACGTACTGAAACTGCAGTCAGAAAAAAAAAAGAATGTATGTTTGCAAAAAGAATTTACATGAGACCTTTTCTACAACCACATACATACCTACACACATCCGTTCCGCTGGCCTCAAAGTTGGACAAAAGTAAAAGAAAAAATTGAAATAAATAAAAAAGTAGCAAATGCGCTTGTGTGCACAGACACAATATAAATTCAGCTAAATAAATACAAAAAGCATACATCATCACATAAATGCCAACATACATATGTACGTATATATAGTCCATGCGTATCCCCTGCTAAACTTTTGCTCCAGTCTTTGAAGGCTACTTTATGCATGCGTGAAATGGGTCGTTGTAAGTTCAACGCCGCAGGATTCTCATATGACCATGTAAGCACATGTGAACACACACACACACACACACAAGCAACTATATTAGAATAAATGTACATTTCAGCTTGCATTGTTTGTATTGTCACACATTGGCTGGCACTCGGTTATACTGGTGGGTTATACTGGGGAAAAAAATCTGCAAATATACTCATATGAAAAATAATACTCATATTTTTTGCTAAAAAAAAGAACAAAAAAAAAAAATATTTACAGTAAAGAAGACTTTTCGCTTGAAATGCTTAAAAAAGCTCTGAATATGAATGTTACTGTGCTTTATTTGAGTTATTATTGTTATTTGTTTTTGGTGGCATACATTTCTTTTTTCCCCTCGCACACACGCACACATGTCTACATACAAATATACTTATATGTGTACCTTGGAATTTACCCTGCTTCGCAGACACTCTTTGCTCATTGTACTCTGTAATAATCGTCGTCGTTACAGGACCCACTAGCCTCTTTCACGCTTCGCAGGACCTATTGAGTAGAGTAAGTAGTAAATATGACCTGTGTGTGTATGTGCTAAGTCGTTTGCTGTTATTATGGTTTAATTTTTTTGTTTCTTTTTTTATTTTTTTTTCACTATTTATTACCTTGTACGTCACATTTTTTCTGAGTCCCGCTTCTTAAGCTTCTTCTCAGTGTGTAGAAAATCGTTAAAATATAAGAAAATAAGACTTACACATTGAAGGACAATTCAACACGCACACAAATACACACGCACTTTAAAAGAGGTACTAAATGTGAGCCTTGAAGCTTTTGAGGTCTTTGTAGAATTTTTAACGAAATTTTGAGGATTTTTTTCGAAAATAAACGTATGTAAAATGCATAGAAAATAACTTTTTTTTATGAAATTGCGTTTCTTATTAAAAAGTCTCAACTTTACCATTATCATCATTCAAATTACCGCCTGATGGATTTTTATAAATATTTGATGACTTCTTGCCACATTATGGGTGGTATCGTAGCCATAACTTGACTTTACTTATTTTTCAGCGAGTGGCAACGCTATGAACGTATTTTTTTAAGCCTCACATACTGTATGTGAAAAATAAGTAAAGTCAAGTTATGGCTACGATATAGTTATAATATTATATACGGCCACTACTCTTAAAGATTTTCCGATTACACAAAATCTGATTACATGGATTTTTCCTGCTACCGTTTTTCGCTCGCCGGAAGCTTTCAGCAATTGGCATAATTTAAACTTTTTCCACTTTAAATAGTGCACTGAACAAATTATATTATTAATAGCCTACTTTTGCGGGCCAGAAAATATTAAATTACAATCATTAAGAAACGCACAAAGGCATATGAAATTTTATTATGAATTAAAAAATGTATAAGAGCACTCTGCGGATTTTAATGCAGAATCAGCTTTTATTAAAATCAACAATAATCATAAATTAATTGTGACTTAAAATCAATGCAAATGAGCCGGAATGTAGGCCACATAAAGTAGCATCATTAACTGTGCCGCTAAGTTTGCTTAAAAAAGATATTTATACATCGAACTATTTTGAGTATTTTTATAAAATATTTGCTACATATTTCCTGCATAAGCGCGCAGTGCCTGCTTGCTGTCAAAATATTTTATTTAATCTTTGATTAATATTTTAGCTAATTTTCGTATAAATTTAATATGCTTTTAGGCGATGGTAGGAAAAAAGTCGCTTCATTCTGTGTAATGAAGCATGAAGTGCATTCATGTGAAAAATAATTTGAGGATTTTCAACGCAAAGGGTTATTTGTAAAAAGAAAAAGAGAAATTATGAAACGCTCAAGCTTTTATTAAAGCTCTGACAGCCTTTGATATGTGTTGCTTCTGATTTTATACTCTGAGATGTACATAAGTCGAGTGTGTCGCTGTCCTAACGCTGAAATTAATTTGTCGCAGCGCAATTATTTCCAAACGAATTGACTCGAGTCAAAGCAAAAGTTGGCTGAAAGGATAATGTGTTTGGTGAGCATGGTGAGCACCAGTGGCGTAGGCATATGAAAGAGGGGCAGAAATTTAAGTGAACAAACTAACCGATATCTAACGGTGGAAGTGAATTCAGGCATGAAACGACAGATTCTTTGTTCAAATTTTATAGTATCCTTGAGTAAACTTAAACTGATACACTTTATGTACGTTGAGTGGAGTAAAAATTGATAAATAAACAACAACAAAATAAATTGAAATCAACTAAATTAAAAAAACTATATTAAATTAAATTAAAATAAAAAACAAAATAAGTAAATAAAATAATTAAAATGTAATTAAAAAAAATAAAATACAAAAAATAAAATTAATTAATGTAAATTAAAATAACGTTAAATAAAGTGAAATAAGTAATAAATGAATTAATATAAAAAAAATTAAAATAAAAAAATGAAGTTAGTTAATATTAAATTAAATTAAACTGAATAAAATTAAATAATATAATATAAAATGAAATAAACAAAATTAAAATAAAATAAAATATAATATATTAAACTAAAATAAACACGAATAAGTTAATATAAAAATAAATAAAATTAATTAAATTTATTTAATATGAATTAAAAAAAAAATTTAAATAAATAAAATAAAATTAAATGAAAAAATTGAAAAAATTAGCAGATATATTATAAAATTAAGATAAATTCAATTAAATAATAAAACTAATAGAACATAATATAAAATGAAGTAAAATACAAAAGAATTGAAATATCTTAAAATAAAATTAAATGAAATTGAATTCAATTCAATTAAATAAATCAAATACAGAAAATTATATTAAACGAAATAAATAAAATAAAATAAAATAAAATAAAATAAAATAAAATAAAATAAAATAAAATAAAATAAAATAAAATAATATAAAATAAAATTAAATTAAATTAAATTAAATTAAATTAAATTAAATTAAATTAAATTAAACTAAATTAAATAAAATAAAATAAGATAAAATAAATAAAATAAAATAAAATTATTTGAAATAAAATAAAGTAAAATTAATAAAAATGAAGTAATATAAGATAACTTAAAATAAACTAAAATGGTGTATTATATAATAATATAAAAACAATATAAAGATAATAAGTTATACTAAAATAAAATAAAATGGAGTAAAATTATAAAAAGTAAAACAAAAAAATAAAAAGCAACATAAAATGAAATATGAAAATAAAATAAAATAAAAATAGGAAAATAAAATAAAATATAATAATTGTATGAAAAGAAATGAGGGGAAATAAAAAAATATAAAACTTAAAAAAAATTAAATTAAAATAAAATTATAAAAATAATAATAAATATCACAAAAGTTTTGTTTCAATTTATTCTACTCCCCTCCTCTCTACAGCTATCATCGCCTAAGTTTATAAAGCCAGCCATTCGGCAACTTTTCTGTCTCGCAACTTATTTGCCATAATTTCTCATAACTTTATGATAAAAAGACCGACCGTCGAACCGGACAGAAGAACAGACAAATTTTCCCTGTCATGTCAAGAACAAACAGAGATAATAAATAATAATAAAAACAAACGACACAGCGACTCACTATAACACAGAAACTTATCAAAAAGTTGTTTACAATTTCTAACTTGAACTTTTCCGCTTTTCGAAATTTTTATTTACAGTTGCATAAGCAGCAGCAGAAGCAACTTCAGCAAACATCATCAGCAGGATATGAACGCCCAAGTGAAGTGCACTCGTAAGACATAGTACACAGCAGGATATGAAGAAGGAAGTCAGCAATTGCACTTGTAAGACGCTTAAGTGAAAATGTCGGCACATCCACTTGCAACAGCAAGGACGTGCAACAGCACAGCAGCAAGGACAAGAGCTAAATAAAACTTTTGCCGCCGTATGTATTGTAGTGAGCAGTGAATATATAAATAAATAAATATGGCAAAATAAAAAAATATAAAAAATATCATAAACATAAATAATAGTCAACAAATATCATGCAACATACTTGCAACACAAATACAAGTTGTAACTAGAAATATTTTATTATAAAAGTACAAACATAAAATCGAACAAAAGTCAAGTGAGAACACAAACACGCACACTAGTGCAAAGTGTTATAACGGCATAAACAAGTAGCTTGCAACAACACAACAAGCAATAAAGTACGACATAGTGATAAATTGAGCTGAAAGTATCAAGACGATCATAAAAATTTCAACTGGCGCAAATTTATGGTGCAAGGACTTTGTGTAAAGAGTGCTGAAATGACGAAGAAATTTCAGAAAATTTTTTTTAATAAAATTTTTGTTTGATTTTTTTTTTTATTTAATTTTTTTTATTTCTATTTTTATATACTTTTTACTATTCTTTTTCTTTGCTCGTGACCTCGTCGACCTCGTCTCGCAATTTTTCAAAAGCTCAACGCGTTGCTGTCGCATCCACACGCCTTCGACGTGGTTATATATGTATAGGGCTTGCAGTACATCCTTGCCACATCAAGTGCAAGGTTTCGCTTATCCAAGTTTAACGCGCGAAAATTCAACAAATTTTCTCATTTTTTCTTTCTCTTTAGCAAAGCACAGAAAACGGCGCAGTGAGTTGGTGGAAGTGTTTGTAATCGTGTGTTGCCGGCTGCCACATGAATTTTGAAAAATTTCCGCGTAGGAGCAACGAGTTTAAGTGGCAGCAACGCGGCCCTACAGTAAGCTGCAGGCATTAGGGGTCGCCACACATACTCGTACACGGTGTAATACGAGAAAAACACACACACACTGCCCGTTGCAACAACACGATTTTTTACTACCGATGCGCGAAGGCACGCAAAGCAGACGTGCAGCAGAGAAACCGAAATAGAATAAAATACAAAATAATATAAACAACAACAATAACGAATAGTGTATTTTAAATAAAAAGTGAAATATTAACGGAAAGAAAGTCTGATAAAAAAGAAACGAAGAAAAAGTGCTTACTCTGAACCCCGTGCCCCACCGCTCGTCGTGTGTTACCCCAACAAGCTTGCCAAAATGCAAGTTCAAGTTCAGCGTTCTTGAGCTACTTAAGCTACAAGGCTTGCGCTAGCAACGTGCCACATCGCCTGCAATTGGTACGTTCATCCGTCGGTCGGTCGATCGGTCGGTCGGTCGGTCGTTCGCTCGTTCGTTTGGCCATTAATACTTGTTGTGGTCGCGGCAGCATGAAATCGAAATCGAAATTGAAATTGAAAATGGCAAATACAAATACACAAAATCAAAGAAACGGTGGCAGTGGTGGTGGTGGCAGCAGCAGAAGTTGCAACATTGGTGGCAGCGTCAGCAATAAAAATGCACATAATGCCATTAGTGTTGTTGCTCTGTTTGGTCGTGCTATAAACATGTCACGCAACACTGGCAGCACGTCATCATTCGCTACAACAACAAATAATATAACAACACTGTTGCCACATTGTGCTGGCCGGCAGCGACATGGTTGTAGGAAACATAATGTTGGCGGCTATGAATCAGTAATAGCAACAACAAAGACAACAACAACACACACCGGATTACTCTTTCGAATTGCACTTTTATTGGCTTTTCTGCTGTCTCTCGGCGTTGGTGTTGAAGGTAAGTGGCTTTGAGAATTTTTTAATTGTATTTATTTACTACATGTTCTTGTTGCTGTTGTTGTTGTTTTTGTTATGCACTTTGGACGCAATCAAAGTGTACTTGAATAACTAATTTATTGTAGTTTAAGCAATTTTCTTTGATATGATTTTTTATGAAAGTGAGCTTTGTGGCTCAATAAATTGAGTGTATCCATTTGAGTGATTTTGATTGTTTTGTTTGACATTGAGTTGAGTTTATCTTGCTTTAATTAGAGTAGAGTTTAAGTTAAGCAAAGATAAGTTTGGTTGAGTAAAGTTAGTAGCTTAGGTGCGCCCGTCTACGGTCAGGTCTTCTACTTGTTTCATTCTACCAAACTCATAACCAGCCAAAGAGGTGAGTCGATTGAAGTAACACAGATATACGTGCCTGTGTATATAATTTGGTTGGGCTTGAGTTGAGTTAATTTGATTTGAGCTGGGATTGAGTTCGATTGCAGTATAATTCCATATGTATTTGTATGGAATTGAAAAAACGCTCAGCTGATTATAGATAAATTAAAGTGGTATTGACTTGAGTAGCTGGTAGAAGAAAAAAACTCAGTCATATATAAATTGTCTATTTATTAATATAGGTTGAGCTGAGTTAAGTTGAGTTGAGTTGATTAATGTAGGATTCGAATGAAGTTTAGGTCAATTGAGGAGAGACTGGTAAAGTCTCCTTTGAGTCGAGACTACTTCAAGTAATGTCGACGTGAGTTGAGTTTAGTAGGTATATTTGGGTTGAGTTGAGCTGAACTGTCTAATCGTTTAAGCATAATGTAATAATTTGATTTATGATGAGTTAGGAAAGTTGAGTCGAGAACTTAGGTTCTATTTTAAGCAGAGTATACTATGAGTGATGTGGGATTGAATTAAACTCAGCGAAAGGAGCTGAGTTGAATTGAACTGAGCTACTTACAATGAGTTGAGACTCATTGAATTGAGTCGAGCCAGAGTCTTATTTGAACACAAATGAATTGCGTTCAGTGCAAGTAACTAAAAATTAAGCTCAGTTTTATTTTTGCCTAGATTTGAGTAATAATTGAGATCTAATTCGCTAGAACAGCCAGTTGCCAGTTTATTTGTTTTTAATTATAGCTGGCTAACAACAGGCACGCTTTTAAAACATTTATTTCAAAACAAGGTTGCCATATCAAGTTTTAAAAGAAAAAAAAGCTACTAATTAAAGAAACAATACATTTTTAGCAAAAAAAAGCGCATAAAATACGAATAACTTTAATAGAAATGACTTTATAAGAAAATCTTACGTTTTAGGGTTGCCATATAAATTTGTAAATGCAAAAAATGTATATTGGTATAAAAATATATGTGCGCTAAAAATTAATGCGCATAAAATAAAAATAACTTCACAATTGCTCTTAATAGGGTTGCCATATTAATTTCTCAATATCCCTTAATCGGTTTTAATTTCGAAATAATTTTATGAACTTGAATCTGAAATGCACTTAAAAGAAAAACTTCTGACATTTACTAGGTCATATAAGCAAGGTTACCAAATAATTCAATTTTCCGTTTAATTTATGTACGAGTATGTATGTATTGTACATATGGCAATATTTTAGAGAATTTGTTTTTCTGGCTTTTTTAATCCCTTAAAAAAAGCTTTACTATCGTAAAAAATATAATTTTTTTTTTAAATTGCAAAATTAATAAAAAAATTTAATTGGTAAATAAAAAGGGTTTGAATTTTAGTAAAAAGAAAAAAAAACAGTGCAGCAGAAAAAGAAAATAATTTTGGAGTAACATATACTTGTGTATGGGTGAACTATATTGCAGTACAGTACAAATATTCGGTGACAGGGTTGCCAAATATGTTGAAAAATAATTTAGGTATTTAATTTTTTCTAAAATATTTTCAATTAATTATTTAATTTATGAACGGCTGCTTCACGATAGAATGTTTAAATTTTATTATTTTAAAATAATAAGATATGGCAGCCTAGGCATTTTACAAAACTCAGTGATCTGCAACGCATTATGTATAAAAAAAAGTGTATTACAAATTAAATGGCATGAAACTCTAGAATCTTTTGTTATACTTTTTTATGAAAGTAGGGTTGCCAAACTATTTAAACTGTAGTAAGCGAAACGGAGAAATAAAAAATGGAAAGCTTTTCTTCAGTAAACTTTTTGATATGACTTAGCTCTCAGTACTCTACGCTGAAGTTAAACAAATGAGGGGCAGGGTTGTCATGTTTGTAGTAAAACTTGAAATATTTTTGTTTATTATCTTTAATTTGCTACTTTTATAAATTAATTATCAATTTTTATGACATTTTTTTATTGCTTAAAATATCACTAAGTAGATTTCAGCTTACACGCAAACAAACCTCAATAGCCTGAGATTGATATCAACGCTGACCCGCAAACTTATCTACATACATACATGTATAACCCCTTGCATACAAATGGTGATACATATAGAAATACTTTGGTAGAAATGCTTTACGACTTTCGTTTCTTCTGTCTACCGAGATATTGAATACATATTGACAGATTATTAGCAACGCATTTAAAGGCTTCCGCTCATAAATACATATGTGTGCTCATATATATGTGCATATATGTAGAAAATATATTTAAATATATACAGATATATGAGTTATTCTCCCTACAAAAGCGCTCGTATATGAAGCGCGTATTCCCTCCTATCTTCTGCACTATCTCTTCCATCTTTCTTCCATTATGCCAACTTTATTAAGTCATTAAAAAACGAAAACAGTTATTTTAAACAAAAGGACGTAATAAAGTTTTTAAATTAAAAATTTCATGAATTTATCACTTAATCGACATTTTCATTGCAAACCAAAAAAAAGTGCCTAACAAAAGCTTCACCGTGTACCTTTGACCCAAATTCGCCACTGAATGCGGCATTCAACCGCTGTTTGTTGTTTGTCTACACTCAGTACGTTAATTGGCCGTTTTGTCAAACAGCAGCTGTATGAAGATATGCAAAACAATGCAGATGTATGTGCGTACACACATGCACACCTATTTACAACAACTGATTGGGAGTAACAATAGTAAAAGTGGAAGAGAAAAGGCAAACATCTCATATACATATATATGTATATGCGTAGATGCTGATAAAAATTCATATGCATGCCGGGAGATACGTACGCTTGTTGTCGCCCATACGTCGTATGTATGTACTTATGTTTGTATGTATTTTTTTTTTTTTTTGCTAAACAAAAGACAAACTTCTACAGCTCTTTTGACGTGCACAGCCAAAAATCGAAACTGAATTGTGTAAATAAAGTGGTAGTAGAACGCTAGCAGACGTTGGGATGTGCCTAAAAAGAGACAAACAACAACAAGATACAGTGACCGTAAGGCCAAAGCGTTGAATTTTATCTTTGATTGTATCTGACGTGTCGTCGCCGAAGTTGCTGTCGTCTGACGCGTTTATTTCTTATTTTTCGGCTGTGAAGAGTGGCATAGCCTCAAGTACATATGAATATACGAACGCGTACTCATATGTGTGCTACACGTCTACTTGGCGTCCCCTGGTGACCTGTCAACATTTACAAATTTATGGATATTTCTACATTTGGACACAACGCGCAGCGGAGGAGCCCAGCCAAGGAATAGCACAGAACACAAAGTAGGGGTCCAAGCGTGTGTGCATAGCAGTAAATGTAAACTAACAGTAGCGCAGAAGTGTTCGTTAGTCACATATAAGTGCATATATGTGTGAGCATGCGTGTATGTCGCAAGTTAGTCGAGACCGTAAAATTCTGCTATTTTGTTTTACTTTTTTCCCATTCCAGTTGCTTAATGTGACGATTGAACTGGCAAGCATTTGAGTAGCCAAGTGGTCGAGTAGTCGAGTAGGCCGACGCAAGCCATTGCCAGAATATATGTTTTACATATGTAAGTATTTATATGCTTAGAATGCGGCCTAATGCTTTGTGGCAAATGTTAGGCATTTATTTGAATGTCTGCTTTATAAATAAGGCAAAAGGCAATAAGCGTAGGAAAAGTGCTGGTGTTGCCATATGTCGAAATATTGTTATGAATAATTCAATCATAGGGCGACAAGCTTAACGAGGATGCTTGTGTAGCAAAAAATAAAAATAAAATAAATAAAAAATATATAAAAATAATAAAATAAAACTAATACAATGAAACGATATGCTTAAGCAGCTTGAGCGGAAATAATAAGACGAGTAACAAGTCATCCATTTTTTTCGCTTTAAATCGGTAAGAAAGGCCACCATAATGCGAATTATCCAATTTATGACAATTATACACCGTTGTGCTCCATTTTACCATTCCAAATGTAATATGTCATTACGTCTCTCTTATAAAAACTCTTTTATTCATTGACAATGAATTGGGACAACCGGCTTTCAAAGACTTCTCTTGAGGCCAATTATTCACTAGCTATATACATAAGCATATACAGGAATAGATGGGAATCACTTTAAGCGACATCCAGGTTTTAAGATGAATTAATAAATCTCCTCCTGTTAGACTAAACTGTGTGCCACTGCGTGTTTACTTCCCACAGACAGTTCAAATGCTGACAGCCTGATGGTCTAAATCAAAAGCATGGTCGTAAAGGACTAACTCATACTCCATGATTTCATGGCAAAACAAAAAAAATCCCTTGCCGTCAAGACTGTCTTAGAGACATTTAAGCCAACTCACTGCCTTTCAACCCGGTTCGTTCCACGTTTTTGTATGACGTTGCTCTCACTGATCCACTTTTTATTATCAGTCATCGTCCGCTTCAGTAATAGCTCGATTTTATTACAGGCAGCTCAGAGACAGTAAGTGGAAATTCGGTCCGGAGAGTGTCTTTCTCATTAACTTATGTGAAAGAAAGAAAGTAGCGCATGTCTAGCTCCTGAGAAATCGAAACAGTGCTCACACGGTGTTTTATTTCGACGATTTACATTATTTTATTCACTTTCGATGAATGACCTTCCAGACGGTGGATCATCATTAACATCA